TTGCTGGAAATCAAATTGTTTTTTGCCCCCCCCCCATCCGATTAATCGATTAATCGAAAAAGTAATCGACAGATTAATCGATTATCAAAATAATCGTTAGTTGCAGCCCTATTGGTAACACCCTGAGTCTACAGCCTAATTATACAACAGCCTACTTATAAAAAATAAAGTATTTTGTTTTCTTCAAAGCTTCAGTTGTAATCCGAATACTTGTCTTTATATAGTATATGTAACCAGTTTATCTGCATTGTGTGATTTTTTTTCTATTACTCACAAATTAACAAATTCAAAATAAACAGATTTTGTGTAATTATAGGAAAAGAGCTATATAGTGTCAGCACCCATCCAACCCTGCCTCTCATGTCTCCACCCCGTTTGGCCAGCAGGTGTTGCTGGTCATCCTGTCTTCCTCCATGTCACTCTCCCTTCAGCCCCTATGTGCTTCCTTTGTTCCCTGGATGCCACATAGCTCAGTGGGCTTACCATGTGGCTCAGATGGTGAATCTGAGTTGTGGATTCAAAGCTGGCTAGAAACAGGTCTCATCTGTCCTGCATCTGTTGTTATGGGTTATCAATGCTTTCCTGTTTTTTTGTATTTCAGTCGGTTCGTTGTTTTTTGCTCCTTGTCCCCTGTTTACCCAGTTTTCCTTGCTTTAGTTAAGTTATCAGTGTTTTTTCCCCTGTTTAGTTCTGACCCTTCATGGTCCTGTTGTTTTGTAGTTTACCCCAGTGTGTTCCGTTTACCCCCTTTGTCTTGAAACCAGCCTGTGCTCTGCCTCGGCATGACAATTATACAAATTAAACAAAGTAATCTGGTTACACAAATGAGAATAATTAAGAATTATTAAATTAAGAATAGCTACATCAAAAGCATTGGAGTAGTTTGTAAACCCTAAAATTAAAATCTATTTAGTAGTAGTAGTGATTGTAGAGTAGTAGTTATTGTCATCTCAACCATATACCTTAAAGCACACAGTGAAATGAAATAATGTCCTCCAGGAACCAAAGGTGCAACATACAAGACATCAGGACAACAGCACACTCAGACAGATCAACAACGCAGAAAACTGGGGGGGGGGAATAAATAACACCTGTACATATATCTCTAAATATACATATACTGTACCTAAAAAATAAGATAAAACTATCTAAAAAGACTTTTAGGAGGGGGAGCACATCAGAGGGGCTGTGGCAATACAATATACAACAATAGACTATGGACTATGAAAAACAGTGCAAATATGCTGGCAGTATAGTTAGTGTAGTTAGTGTACCGCTGTGCAATTTCCTTGTGCAATTACATTGTGCAAATATGAGCAGTTATGCAAGTATGCAATGAGAATAAAACATTTGTTTGGTATACGGGGAGTTAAGGATGTTAAGGAGACAGCCCAGTGTGGAAGGGGGCAGCATGGTGTTCAGGAACTGGTCTGCTTGGGGGAAGAACCTATTGCATAGTCTAGCAGACCTGCTAGTGATGCTGCAGAATCTTCTTCCTGATGGAAGGGGGGTGAACTGCATCAATGGCGCCACAGTGGAGACAGTGAAGAGTACCAAGTTCCTTGGTGTTCACATGACAGAGGGCCTCTCCTGGACCATCAACACCAGTTCCCTGACAGAAAGAGGGATGTAAGGGTCAGCCATGATGCTGGTGGCCATATAGATGCAGCGGGAGGTGTAAATGTCCTGCAGGCTGGGTGGAGAGCTACCGATGATGCACTCAGCTGTCCGCACAATCCTCTGAAGGGCTCGACTCTTCAGTCGACGCAGAAAGTGCAGGCACTGCTGGGATCTTAGGCCCTCGGTCATGTGAACACCAAGGAACTTGGTACTCTTCACTGTCTCCACTGTGGCGCCATTGATGCAGAGCGGGGAATGGCCAGCCTTGGTCCTTCTGAAGTCAACAATCAGTTCTTTTATCTTACCAACATTAAACAACAGATTATTGTCCTTGCACCTGGCTGCTAGCCGTCGCACCTCATCTCTGTACAACATGTCATCATTGTCCTTGATGAGGTGGTGTCATCTGCAAACTTGATAATATGGTTCTGGAACTGGAGGTGCAGTAGTGGGTCGGCAGCATGAAGGGCAACGGGCTCAGCACACAACCCTGGGTGGCACCCGTGCTCAGCGTGATGGTGGTGGAGCTGGTGTTGCCAATCTGGACCGTCTGGGGACACTCAGTGAGGAAGTCCAGAATCCAGTTGCCGGTAGAGGTGTTCAGTCCAAGCAGGTCCAGCTTACCGATCAGCTGCTGAGGGATGATGGTGTTGAATGCTGAACAGAAGTCGATGAACAGCGTTTTCACATGGGGGTTATGGTGTTCTTGGTGAGACAGGGCCAGGTGAAGTGCAAGTGACATCACATCATCTGTAGACTGGTTTGTGCACAAATTCTAGTGGGCCCAGTGTGGGGGGAGCTGGTTCCTGATGTGGCGCAGGACTAGCTGCTCAAAGTACTTCATGATGGTTGGTTTAAGTGCTACTGGGCGGTAGACGTTGAGCTCTGAAACTATAGCCTTCTTTGGAACAGGTCTGATGGTGGTGGCCTTGAAGCACTGTGCGACAACAGCCTGGCTCAGGGAGGTGTTGAAGATGTCCCTTACGAAGACAGTCAGCTGATTAGCACAGGCTCCGAGCACTCGACCAGGTATCTTGTCAGGTCTGGCAGCTTTGCGTAGGTTGACCCAGGCGAGAGTCATTCTCATGCTAGCTGCTAACAGGGACAGCACCTGGTTGTGTGGAGGTGGGGTGGTCTTCTGCGCTGGCTCGGTGTTCTGGTCCTCAAACCTGGCATAGAAGGTGTTGAGTGTATCTAGTAAGAGGTGTTGGTGTCCTGTAGTCCGTCATGGCTTGGATGTCCTGCCACATGCACTGCGCATCTCTCGAACAGGAGAAGCGGTTATTCATTTTCCGCGCATAATCACGCATTGCCAACTTGATGCCCCGGGACAGGCTGGTTCTTCCTGCTCTGAGCATTATGTCATCATTCGCTCTGAAAGCAGCCTCCCAGGTTTTCAGCAGTTTATGAACTTCTGCTGTAAACCACAGCTTCTGGTTTGCTCTCTTCAGCAGTGGGCTGTATGCTGGAGTCAGCATTACTGTAGTGTGATCAGAGAGTCCTAGGTGGGGACGGGGTGTTGCTCTGTATGCGGATCTGATGTTTGTATAGACCAAGTCCAATATGTTAAGTCCTCTGGTCGGAAACTCAACATGTTGGTGGAGTTTGGGCAGTACAGTCTTTAGGTTTACATGATTGAAGTCCCCTGCGATGATAAAAGATCCATCGCATTGTGCATTGTGTAGCACTTCCTTAGCATTAGCTTTGGGGGCAATATACGATACAATACAATAATAATGAAGGTGAACTCTCGTGACAAATAATGTCTGCAATTCTCTGCCACGAATTCCACCAATGATGAGCAGTGTTTGGAGATCATACTTGTGTCTCCACACCATTCTGTGTTGATGTAAACACACAGTTTTGAAGGATGATTCAAACGTCATCTTGGTTCAGACTGCTTTTATCCATAAATAATTTATGAAGTTCTGATGTACAGCTTTAACAGAAATGCTAAGGTACCCCTTGCAGTGAAGGGAGACCCAAAACTCTTATTCTGTAGCGATCTCGCGGACCGTGGTCTTTGCGATGTACCTGGGCAATAACAGACGGCACCCCTATAACCCAAGTCAAACGGAATACGAGCCGCTTTCTGACTTCTTTAGACCAACACAAATAAAGGCAAAGATAGACATATCCGTGGAACTAGCTGACACTCAGGGGCACTAACAGATGACCCACAGACACGGTCGTGTAATTCTATATATGACTCATTTTAAAAGTGTTGTATGTCCTGTGGTTTACCAAGAACTGAGACTCTAACGGATGCCCTCAGGTAATAATAAAGTTTTCTAATATGACACAGGCCAGAGATTCCTGCGAACCGCTCGAGTTTATGAGCAACTGAATTCCGATCTCATTCTGCGGATAGTTCAGGGTGGCGTTCTTTCCAAGCTACATTAAAACTGAGTATGAATTCCAATAAACAAACAGATAAATAAATAAATTAATCCAAACTGATCTCAATACAAATTAGCATACTTTGTATAAATATTCGGAAGCATAATATTCTAAATGTTGTCCAAATGTAGGAAGGCAATCTGTTCAACAAAACGGTATAATTGGAAAAAAATCTGCAGCACCTACGTTTGGCAAAAAATCGCACTGTGAACCATCAAAATACATATAATATAAAAAGCAGTAACTCTTATTATTTAAAAAATTAAATTTACTTCCACGGGCCAGAAAATGTGCTATATATTATCTTAAAATTAGTATTAACAGTATTAACATAGGTGGACATCAGGGAGTCGGCCTATTTGCGAAGCACATTTTAGTATTTATATTATAGAGAAATTCAGCCAAGGATTGGCAGTAAAATACTGAGAAACCAACAAATCTGCTGCTAAACAAACTCAGCAGCTTTCGCTTTCTGTTTTCTTATTCCTCTGCTGTAATTCTCAGAAACCCCCAAATATTATAGGCATACTGATCGTATTACACAGGTTAGATCTACTTGTTAACTTTCATAAATAAAGCACAATTCAGTTGTGGCACAACTTTTGGTGGTAGCAGGACATTTTTGTTTTTGCCGACTGTATATGTAAAGAAAATAAAAATCTTAAGAAAAAATATACTACAAATGGGATAAGGTGTAGACTACGTGCCGTTTAAAAAATTACACAGAATTTACCACCTTACAACTATTACAACTATCTATTATCACGATCGACCAATTGCTTACCTCTGTATGCACATAATCATGACGGATAATATAATCCAAGTTTGAGATCACGCAGAATACGTTTCCTTTTTTTAGAGAAAATATTAGAACGCTGATCGGATAGACCAGCATATAGGAACTACTTAGTAGATAAAAAATCATAGGGTTAACAGTTAAATCTTTCTATAAAGTTTATATAACCGATCCCATAGCTCGGTGGGTCCGGAAAGCCTTATCTTTTGGGCTGCTGAGAGTAAGAATAGCAGACGGAAAGTGTTCGTGAGCAACTGACCATGCACTGATTTGGTTTCATGTGAGTCGGCTGAAATTCCTGGAACCGGGTTCTCGGTACCGCTTTGTACGTGTGGCCCCCGCACCCCATGGGGGACCTCTAGTCCCGTCTGTTTAAATTGACTCACAGTCCGCAATCTCTCATCTGATGGGCTCCACAGGCGCCCGGATTAGTACTGCCGGAGTTATTTTTTTTTTTACGGAGCTTTGGTTCTAGGAAAACGGGGCGGTTCTGCAGGTCATCCCCCCGTCTTCTCGGAACTTGCGGATTAAGTATACAGCCCTGGCTGCAGGTGGCGCCATTTTAAGCGCAAAGGAGGTCTAAAAACAGCACTTTCACCCAGGGCTGCCCCATGTATGAATGGTATGAACCATCCTTATAATGAAGTGTCGCTTGTTTTAATACGCGTGTGTAAGGTTTCAGCCATAATTTGAGGACCTTATTTACTCTTCATATAAATATGTGAGTTGATTTAATCTGAAAAATAGATTTGTATAGCAAGAACAAGACTCTTGAATACTATAATCTTGAACCCCCACCTGAACGTTGTGTTATATATATATATGCTTAGTAGAACTGAGAATTGCACCTTTTATAGCATTTTAAATGTAGGCTTAAAAGTAGCATTGTTTGTTCATCTCCACGGATAAATTATTTCGTGCCATGTTGTGAGAAATATGGCAACTCTAACCATTTTAAATTTGTATAAATATCGATAAATACCAAAATGTTCTTTCAAGTTTTTTTAATGCTTACTATAGTTACAGCCTTAAAATGTATGTCTTAGATGAAGCGAAGAGCACCTATGTATACCGTCGTTTGCTAAAAGACACGAGGGTGAAATAATTTCCAACTTATTGTCCTAGATTTGTAAACCAGACTTAACTTAGAACCCATTCTTTCTGCAAGCTTATACATGTCTTTTCTGTTTAGGTTAAGGTTTTCTACTGGTCTTCCGTTTAGCATCCCCATGTAGGAGACTAAATAAGTAAACATCATATTGACAGAAAAGTGTACGGAAAAAAATGTTTTATTTCGAAGATCCTTAGCTCATAATTTGCAAGTATAATGGCTTCAACTCTTCATATGCTCTGAAGTATCCAAAACAACATAAGACATTTTAACATGTAGAAAGGTTGCGTGAGAGAGCGAGAGGGGACGCGTTCGACGAGGAGCACTTGGGGGAGGGCGGGCTGGGATTTAGGCGGAACAAACCGGGGGGTAGGGGCTACATATGAATTCCACTGGGAAGAACAAAGAGGAAACAGTGATTAGGAGTGCCTACTAAAGGAACTATGGGTAGGCTACTGTGGAAGCACAGGGAAGTCAGGGATCAACTTAAGTGTTTGTCAGATATATAATAATTTATATATTTTGCCAGGGCCGGGTAAAGGCATATGCGAACGATGCGGCCGCTTAGGGCCTAGCGTCCACAAGGGGGCGCCCCATCTAATCAGCCTATCAGAATAGGAAGGGCGATGACAAATAAAAACTAGGTTAATTAAATTCGGCTTAGGGTCAGCCCTGTGTTTTGCCCTATAATTTTTGCCTCCATACTTGGAATTAGTGATAAATGGGGGTTGTTTTGCACATAGGTTGGTCACCGATTTAGTGATGCACTGCACTGCTGGTTTTTGTGACCCCTATGGCTGCATGTGCAAGACCCTGTTTCCAGTAGGTATGTACACTTCCAGTTGAACATGGTTGTCTGTGGATCCACAAAGCCACAATCCCATTCGCCTGAATGGGCGAGAGGGACACTGACTGCCAGGAAGAGCAGCAGTAAGTCGTGCAAAGCAGATGCTCTGGAGTTGGGGTTGCAGCTTGAGGTTACCCCTTCACCCCACTGGCCTTATTGGTGTGAGCCCCACTGCCCTTCCTGTTCACAAACATCCGTCCTCCACCACCATACCTGTGCCACTTTCATACACCCAGTAGTACAAAATTTCTAAAAAAAAAAAAAAAAAAAAAAAACAGAAGAAATGTTAACTCCAAACACAACATGAACATGTCAAGGATCAGAGACTGGGTGTCAGGGAGGTGTGTTAGCAAGCAGAAGAGAGAGGAGGTGTATGTGTGTGTGTGTGTGTGTGTAGTCATAGTCATGTATATATTACACTGTGGGTTTTTTATTAAAAACTGTAAATAAAATCAATCTTATTAAAAACTAATTGCAAACAAAAATCTATAAATGCCAAAGTCTTTGTATTTTGTTTAGTTACTTATGGTTAAGGTTAGGGCTGGGTAGGGATTAGATTAATCATAGTTAGGATTAAGGTTATGCTCATAGTAATAAATGGGCAAGATATAAATGGCTAGTTTGTCTGTGTGTGTATGTGTGTGTGTGTGTGTGTGTAAATTTCATAGAAAGCAAAGAAAATTTCAGCCAGTGCAGGGTTTAGAGTCCATGCAGCTGACAGTACATCATCCAGCACCATCGTGGATGGTTCAAAACACACTGGGCTCGTTGGTGAGGCAAGCAGGAAATACAGTAAAAATAATTATTAAAAACGTCAGTAACTCATAGAAAGCCCTTGAGATTTACAGGGAATTAGTCATAGGAAAAAAGGGAGGTGGTGAACACACGGAGGGAGCGCTGATTGGCTTCAGCTCCACTGAATGAAGAGGTGTTTTGTGGGTGTGTCCATGAGAGCAATAGGAAGGGCAGTGGACCAAGAGCAGTCTGTATAACCAGAGCCTGTAGCCCCACCCGCTATCTCTCCTTTTGAGCCTGTAGCCCTGCCCTCTAGCTCTCCTCTCCATTCTCCCCCGGTCCCCTGATGAGACGCTTGTTGCCCCGCTTCCCTGCCGGCCCCCGGGGCTTGGCAAAGGCCTGCTTGAGAGCGTGCTGCTTAGGATGGACTTCCTCATACAGGAACTCTTCAGTCAGCTCCTCGCCACTGTCAATCTCCATCTGTTTATACATACAGGAGGGTGAACAGGCACGTACACGTAACGGAACAGTGCACAGACAGAAATACAAGCACACAAGCACAGGAATAAAACCAGAAAACATCACATAAAAATTTGAGTGAAATACAAACAGGCATAAAGTTATAACACATAAAAACACTGGTTATCAGGGTCAGCGCTTCTGACCACGCCCTCTGTGACCATTCCCCTTTTGGCCAGTCATTGCTGGTCATTCTGCCTTTCCCCCTCTCTGTCATATAGTCCATCTCTGTCCTATATGTTCAGTCCCTGTTTGGCCAGCAGGTGTTGCTGGCCATGCTGTGCTCAGTCCTTAGTATCTCAGTGGGCTGGGTCTGCAGCTCGCAGACTGTTAACCCTCTGGTTGTGGGTTCAAGCCTGACCTCAGGCCAGCCTTTACATTAGTTTTATTCCATAGTGTTTCATGGTTCCTGTTCTTTTCCCAGTTATAGGTTTTACCTGCTCGTTTCCTGTTCACTTCTGGTCTTGTTTGTATCATTTGGTTCTGTAGATTATCCGAGTGTATTCCCAGAGTGTAGGTTAGTGTTTGTAGTATTCCCTAGTTCTGTGCTTGTTAACTGTTCTACCTTTTGCTCATTGTCCTGCTCCTTTTGTGATTGGTTCATTTGATTGTGATTTACACCTGTCCCTTGCTTGCCCTGAGTTTCTATGTGTGTTTGAGTGCCTGTCCTGTTTCTGTTATTTGATGGTTCATTGTAGTTGTATGTTGGTGTTCAGAGTGCTTGGTACTGTGTGTTATTTGCTTTGCTGCCTAGTCCTGCTCCCTGTGTTCTCTAGTAGTGTTTATTCCTAGTTCTTGTTTTCAAAGGCTTGTTTTGATCCGTTGTGGTCCTTTTCTTTTTGTGCCTTCCCTGTTGTGTTTTTTGGTAATAAATCCCTTTGTCTTGGAGCCGCAAGTAGATCGTCACCCTTTTCCTGCCTGCGCCATGCCATGCCATGCCATGCCACAACACAGGGAGGAATACAAATAAACAGTAACAAAGACAGAAATATACAAACATGAAAAAATACAGCAATAAACAGCAATGAATACATACACCCAAGCAGGAATTCAAACAACCATGAAAAACATGCAAATAAACACACAAACAAACATGAATAAACAGAATTCTAACATGCAATCAAACGGGAAAAAAATACATATGCAAACAATACACAAATTTATGGGGAAAAAAACCCTATTGGATACAGAGGACCCCTATGTGACCTTTTTGGTAATCTCCAGATGGTAATCCCTCTCCACCTCCTCCAGAAGCCGACTCTTACAGCTGGAGTACAGCATCCGCTCCTTTATGCTGCAGCTGTACCCCGGCATGGAGTAGATAAAGACTGAAAGAACAGGGGGGAGACAGCTTGTTAAACGACAGGGCATATGGGCACCGAGGAGGAGGAGGAGGAGGAGGAGGCAATGCGATAAGGCTTTAGCAAAAAGGTAATGGAGTGATGGAATGGGGCAGGAGGAGCAGGGGAGGATGCTGAAAGGATTGAGATGGTTGTCAGTCTAGGACCCCTAGGATCCCCTGGCAGAGATGGAGGGCAGGCCTGGCAGAGATGGAGGGCAGGCCTGGCAGAGATGGAGGGCAGGCCTGGCAGAGGAAAGTGGGCGCTGAAAAGCGGAGCAGGAGCACAGAATGAGAAGCGGCAGGCAGCTTCCCTCACCCAAGGACTCCAGCAGGTCGCCCTCATGGTGGTGTTTGTAGAGGAAGAAGTGGTAGCGTGGGGTGTCCATGGGTATCCGGCGGGGCAGCTCGGAGACCTCCGTGGGGTTGGTGTGGACCAGCTCGATCGTCTCCCTCTCCGTATCCAGCCGCTGCCTCACGACAAACATGGCTGCTGAGGGGGCGTGTGCACTCATGTGTTTGCGTGTCCTATAGAGCACGCTGGGTTTCTCAGTGGTCCATAATGCACTTCTTGGAAGGAGACTTTAAGGTGAAAATGGTGGTAACAGAGCTAGACTAGTTTTACCAGTTTGGTTAGCTGCCTAACGAATCTCATATTGTAATTTCATATAAATGAATCCAAATACCATTAAATATGAACTGCAATACATAATCTTAATGCAAGGATGTGAGTCAGATTTAGGGTGGGCAATCTTATCCGCAAAGAGCCGGTGTGTATGCAGGTTTTCGATGCGACTCCCTAATTATATTACTAATTAGAGAACTAATTGACTGAAGAGTCCTCACATCTGGGTTTGAACAGCTGACCTAAAGGTTACCCCAAAAACCTGCACACAAACCGGCCCTTTGCGGATAAGATTGCCACCCCTGGATTTAATAGTGTTAGCTATATGAAGAGCCACAGACTGACACAGAAGACTTCCTTCTGCGCTGATAATTCTACGTGCTGCTGGACCTCAGTTGAAATGGAGACACATAACCAGACTTATGCCAAATTAATCAAATACGGAAAATCACTGTCCTGATGAGGGAAATTCCTAAACAGAATGATGAAATAGGTTTTAACTGAGAAACAGAGGCATGTTAACATGGTCAGAGGCCCCTGAGCTATTTGAGTTGTTGGTTGTTGACCGGGGGGGGGGGCATAAAATTGTATTAAACAAGATCCAATGCCTCATTTTAGCGGAGGGCCCTGGGCTTCAGCCTCGGTAAGCCCATGCAATAACGAGCCCCTGCCAAGGACGAAACGAGACCTGGTGAGCGAGGACTTGTTTTGGTATGTTCCAGGTTCCAGTACAGCTCAACTGCGATCACATGACATGAGCGAGTGTGTGTTAACATGTAGGTGTGTTAGGGTGACCGCCTAGTCCATGTCAGGAGGGACACTATGAACTACGGCAAGGTTTGTAAACTACGATTTCAACCATTTTAATTAAAAGGACCCGGATTTCACTTAAGCACCGAGTTCTTGCTGTGCGCTGATTGGTCAGTCTCCTATAACCATGTATGTGTCACTAATGTGAATGTGAAACAGCTGGATGAATCTTTCAGTTATGGAAACAAACATTTTAGCTGAGCACGGGAGCCTTTTGGTTTTAAAGTAGATTGTAAAAGCTGAAGTAGCTCATAGTGTCCCTGCTGACATGGATTAGATGGTCACCCTAACGTGTGTCTGCATGCATCTGGGACTTGCAGGCCTCACCAGCTGGATGTAGTTGATGCGTCTCTGCATGAGCTGCTGTAGAGCATGCCGAGCAGCTTCCTGCAGCGGGAACGCCAGGCCCTGCATGGTCTGGTGCTTGCTCTCCATGCTGATCTCCGCCTTCACCTGCAGGGGGCGACATGCACAGCGGCCAAACGCATTATACTCAATTTAGCCTGAACTGCAGCTTACTGCCAAACCTCACCTGCATTCATGATCAAATAAATATGCACAATGGACACGAGTTAAGATGTCTGGCAGCAGAAAGAACAAACACATAAAGGAGAGAGAAGGAATCGAGTGAATCAGAAAAAAGAGGGAGAGTGTAAAGTAAGTGACACACAGCCGAAAGGTGGCAGACCTTTACACGGCCTAAAGGTGCGGGGGCCCTCCTTCGCTCATCCTGTCGGCATGGGGTGAGGGGGGGAGACATGAGTGAGACGCACGCTCACACTGACGCTTGGGAATGTGTAAACCCACGCACGGGCATGCACGGACACCTTCTGCCAGGGGGAACCCCACAGAGCCAGAGAAGTGACCAGAACGACCCTAACCTCTGCCTCTTGGTCTAAAAGGCAGTCATTAAGCTCAGATTGGCAGGTTAGATTCATTCTTTGCAAAGCTACTCTTTGATTTCAACACATCCTCTGTTAAACTCCCCCTGGCAGACAGAGTAAAGCTGTTCAGGGAATATCCAGCACAAAAAAAACACGAGTCTTTAGTTCAGTGATGATCCATCAAATCCCTACTTTTAATGAAATGTATCCCTAGTTGTCTAGCGACAAGCAAAGTGTGACAAAGGTGATGGTAGATTGGGCGGGGATGGGGGTCTGATGCAGGGTGACAAACCCCATGACACACAGGGGGTGCTGCAAATGGACTCACCCGCACGACTCTGTCCTGGAAAAGATAATGTTATGGTTGAAGATTAGTATGCTGCTGATTAAAACAGGCATACCACCACACACACATAATTGCATACATTCAGATATACGCACATGTGTACAGACATGCACACATCTTAACACACATTCTTACCCACTGTGCATACACACAGAAAAGCATCTGGGAAACAGACTGGATTTCTCAAGATATAATGCTTCAATCACTCACCTCATAGGTTGTAATACCTAGGTTCACTCAGCTCATTGGCTGTAAAGTCCTACCTGGTTTCTCCAGGTCTCACCTCATTGGTTGTAATACCCAGGTTCACTCAGCCCATTGGCTGTAAAGTCCTACCTGGTTTCTCCAGGTCTCACCTCATTGGTTGTAATACCCAGGTTCACTCAGCCCATTGGCTGTAAAGTCCTACCTGGTTTCTCCAGGTCTCACCTCATTGGTTGTAATACCCAGGTTCACTCAGCCCATTGGCTGCGAAGTCCTGCGAAGTGTCTCCAGGGCTCACCTCATTAGTTTTAATCCGCTGCAGCTCCTGCTCAGCAGCGGTCAGGGGTGCAGGGCCGCAGCACGAGGACATGTGACGCAGATAGCCTTGGAACGAGACGTCTTCCTGCCACAGACGGGAAACACGAAACGACCACCAGGTTGGAGGTGACACAACAGTATACTCAACCCTGGACATGGCGTACCATAGGATCGACAATGTTTAAATCAGCTCTAATAGCCAGACAAAGTATTAATGAGCAGGGTTCTGTTAAGATAACTGCTCAGTGTGCTGCAGAATCTCCTCATCTCTGCTGGAAACTGTTGGTTCCATACCTCCACCGTGCCAAACATTTCATCCTTGACATGGCCTCCACCAAACTCTTTCTTCACGGTGGCACGAGTTGCGGCATACAGCATCTTTTGCCTCACCTGTTGGGGTATAGCCACCTGTCACCGGCGGTGTTAAGTGTATAAATGGGGCAGATTTAAGGGTATTTTTGAGAAAAAAATGTAAGTATAGGAGGACCATAATTATACTAGTGCAGAGTTTTTCAGCTAAAGTGCTGAAGATTTGATGTTTTGCATATTTTGTTTGTATTAGTACAATTAATTGAATTAATAAATGAGCCATTTTGGGCTGTTATCTGATTGGTTGAATCCACTTTGTTACTGCCCCCTGAAAAATGTGGCAGGGTGCACATGTGTGTAACTTGTCTTGTTGCCAATACCGGTGACTGGTCAGGTGACCAGGATATGAAGAGCCACTCGTAGCCCTGTGCATTCTGGGAATCCAAGCGGTACAGGACGTAGCAGGGCTCCAGGGGGTCCAGCAGAGGAAGCAGGAAGTGGTCGTAGTCCCGGTCCCAGGTCTGTGACGGCTCTCGATACGCCCCGAGCACCAGCTGCTCTGAAACACACAACACATCTCACCTCACTCCCAGATGACATCTCACTTAATACGCTCACCTCATACATTTTCAAGCAGATACTCATCCAATGCGACATACAAGCAAGGATCAGAAAACAGGGTGAGTTAAGGGCCTTGCTCAAGCCCAGTGCTGATATAATCACTCTACCGGGTTTGAACTTACAACCTCCTGGATATGGGCACAGATTCCTAAGCTCCACGCCACCCCAGGTCACTGTCCCATCCAATGAGATGCAATGAGAAACAATGACTCTCAAACTGAGATGGACTGAGCCTGCCTGAGCTGCCCTCTGGATGGAGCCCTAAGACGGCCTCACTGCCGCCTCTCCTGTTATCTAACCACATGCTCCCTATTCTCTGATGTCCCTCTACCCCTGCGTGTGTCAGCGCCGGGCTTAAATGACAGCCCTCTGCCCCTTCATCTGAATTTCTGTCTCTGTACATCGTTCAATTATTTACAAGCCCCATTCCTCATCTCCTCTGTCTACGGTCCGTCAGCAGGGATCCTCCATCATGCACGCACAATGCAGGCACACACACCACGATCAGGTTTAAGGGCCGGCTTGGACAGGGTTGCCCAGACGATGCCAACACATCCGTCTACAGTTTTTGCTGCTCGTACTTATAGCCCATAACCATAGCACAGCTTCCTCGAAGCCCTACATTCCCTACTTTATATCCGTCGCCGCCTTTTGTATATTCACACTCTGACTCTCTTTATTCATTGGCTGCCGCTTTTAATCAGGGAAGCTCAGCAAGCCAGCAACACTGAGGTGTGGGTGACACTGTCGACGGGGAGCGGTGACAGTTTGATATCAGCGGTGATGTGAAATGTGGCATCTGTCTTGGAACGGTGAGTGACAGCACGGACGCCCAGCACTGAGGTAATGAAAAATAGCCCAGTGCCAGTCCAGTGATCTCTGAAGTAGTCTGCATCTGGTCTGACTGACACCATTGAGTATTTTGAGTATTTTCTGGACACCTTGATCTGCTGATTCAAGTGTCTCTAGATAGATTAGATAGATTAGATAGATTAGATAGATAGATAGATATAGATAGATAGATAGATAGATAGATAGATAGATAGATAGATAGATAGATAGATAGATGTTTTATCGTCATTGTAAGTACAATGAGATTTAGTTTGGAACACGCCAGCAGATGCACAGTATATTTACAATTAAATAGATTTGAGGCTTAAATAGAATGGGAGAGTATGTACAGTCACTATATATATAAAAGATATACATACAAGGTGCTTGTAAGTAAGTTTGCAGAAGTAGAGTTTCAAGTGGACTAAATGCACATAAATATGGGGTCTTGCTTCATAATGTTTGAGATCAGTGCTGCGAGTTCAGTAGTGTGATGGATGTGGGGTAAAAACTCTTCCTCAGCCGGGTTGTGCGGGTGTACAGGGTTCTGTAGCGTCTACCAGGTGGCAGAAGTGTAAAGGGTTTGTGTCCAGGGTGGGTTGGGTCCTTGATTATTTTTCCAGCTTTGCGGCTGCACCGGGTGCGGTGGATTTCTTCCAGAAAGCTGGGTGCCAGTGATCCGCTGGGCTGTCTTGATGCGCTGCAGGGTCTTCCTGTTCTCCAAGTGATATCCAGAGTACCACGCAGTGATGCAGTATGTGATCACTGACTCTATGGTGCACCTGTAGAAGTTCACCAGGAGCTGCTGTGGAAGTTGTGCTTTCTTCAGGCTCCGCAGGAATTGGAGCCTCTGAAGTCCTTTTTTGGCTATGAATGAAGTGTGAAGTGTGTGAAGTGTGTGATGTGTGTGTAGTGTGTGAAGTGTGTGATGTGTGTGTAGTGTCGATAACAGTGCGGTTCTGGTCCACCTCAGCGCTCCTCATAGATGGTCCCAGGCTGTGTGTCCTTGGGGGGTGCCAGGAGGGGGGGTCATACAGCAGGTGCTATTCCAAGCTCTGCGCATTCCAGCACAGACTTTCCACCCACCATTTGTACAGCTAAAGCACACACGCATACACACACACATTAACAGCCTCTGCAAGGTACACGCTGACCAGCTAAAATCCACACGACATGTGCGTGCTCATAGTTCTGTCATGGGTATTTGTAGCCGTGACACGAGTCACCGAGGGCTAAAGGATCGACGATGACATCGATCTTCGAAGAGCTGAGTACTCACCCCAATCAAATAGCGGCACCCTGTTTACAGAGAGGTATTGTTACTATGGCAACGAGACAGCTGTACACTACGTGACCTGAACAGCAAACTGATCTGGCTGCATTTTCACCACAACTTCAGCTGTTTGTTCCCTAAGTGACACAGCTGAAAAATAACATCAATAAGCAGGTCCGTTTCCCTGGGACCCAGAAATAAACCCAGCGGCACCCCGTGTCTGTTATTCCCTGTGTCAGCCATGTGACCGCATGGTCACAGGGACAGTCATGTGACCACTGTGTGGTTTTATAGAATGCAAAAAAAAAACAGTTGAATTTATATTTGCCTTTGATGAGCTCTTGTGTAGCCGTGACAGGGTTCCAACGCTGCTGGAATCTGCTCCAACATTGTTCGATCATTCGTTCACTGTCAGCTGTGCCTGCAGGTGGCATTTCACAAGGCCAAGAGCACGCAGGAGCTCTGTGCTGTCAGGTGGGCAGTTGTATCATGACTGCTTCCCCAGGCCTCACTGTATCAGACAGCCCTCATGATGAGCCCAAGCGGAGATACCGCAGAAGACACTAATCAATGCAGGTCACATGACCTGTTGCCAAGTGCTCTGTGTATCGGGGAGGTCATTATTCATCCACAATATGGAAATGACACTACTGAAATGTTCAGAAGTTGAACAGAAGGATCAATAGAGAAACTTTACAGTTTCAATAAGTAGCAGTGGACCAATCATTAGCTAAATAGCCAGTCTATAGCTAGATTAGAATTAAAATTAACATTGAGGGGAATCTGGTGTTAATCATATAGAACTACACAAGCATGTACATCCAACATGGACATAAGCACATTGAAACAGACTCATAAAACTGTAAGCCATAAAACTAGCTGTGAAGAGGGAACTTGTTGGAAAACTCAGATCCACTCTTAGAAAGGAGAAAACGAGCTTTCACCACAAACACACAACGCATATTCATTACCCACAAAAATATAAACACAGAAATAGACATTCAGATATTCATCTCAAAACAAGAAAAATACATGGGACAGACATATAGAGTCAATGCACACTGTCCTCAGAAGCAACAGCAAACAATAAGCCGTTCACACAGACAGACAGTGCCGCAGCCAGTAGCCAGTGCTCAGCCACACTCACCGTTCCTGATGACCACCTTGATGAGACGCACCGCGCCACACCTGGCCTTGGCCAGGAACTCCCTCAGCTCGGCCGTCGCTACGAGAACCAGAAACATGGTGGGGTCAGTCTGTACCCCCCACAAGACTGGTACAGCCCTCCGGGGTAGGATGGGGTAAGACGAGGGAGAGATTGAGAGACACAGACGGAGGAGAAGGATCAGTAGGCCTAGGAGGTGCAGAAGTGCTCACGGTCTGTAGGGCCGGCGTATGTGAGCGAGAGAGATGTGGTAACTAGGGCAGGAGCATGTGATCTAGGGGACAGAACCTGATCCCCCACACCCAAATTTAGCCAGCAGGCACTTCGGTCACCGCCTCGGGTGACAGAGGTGGGGGTGGGGCGGTGGGGGTCACAGGACTTAGTGGCCTTGTCCCCGACAGCCCTGTTTCTTAGCGCAGAGGACTCGCTGGCCATTGGTCATGTTGGGATTTGTTTGTTTTTGCTGGCTTCCTAATGTGTCTCATGTGGTTTCATCACAAACCAGCTGACGGATGATCTCGAAATAAGACATCTAACCCGGCCATCTGACAAATATCACAGTGACTGATGTTTTGTACATCAATAATAAAATGCAATCAGAATGTTTAATTCAAAACTGAGGCATAATAAGTTGCCAAAGAATTCAACAATTTGCTTAAGTTTTATTTACAATCTTGTTATGGCTAAATACTACTAATTGTTTTACCAGTTAAAGTGCTCATACTGTATTAAATTATTAATTGAACAAATTATTTAAATGATAGTTTTAATTAAACCTGATATTATGGTAAAGTGATATTATTCATATTAAACTTAAACTTGATTTAAAATACTTTGGTAAAGTTAGTAAAATCATACATCCAGAGACACCCTGCATTCCCGGGACCTGCCACTTGGTGGACCTCACTTGGGTGAGATGACCACCTCCACCTTATAAAAGGCCAACAACTCAGAAAATTCAACCACTCCCAGATTTTGATTGTACATATCCATACCCCCATCAATGAATCCATAATCACTGTATCTGTCACAGTCCATGGGTATCAATCAGCCACTCCAAGAGCAGCCTTCAACATATCGTGGGCTTTACAGCGGAGATCACAATTTTACATACATACTAGGGATGCTCATTTCGATTAATTTTCCCAACCGACAACCGCCGTTCGTTAACCGAACATTAACCGTTAACTGATTAGATTAGAATATTAAATTCCTCTGGGGTCGGCGGTCCCGCCGGCGGGATCTGACAGAAATTTCGCCAAACCATTTAAATAACTCTGCGAGGTTTTAT